TACCTGCCCAACAGCACTAACTGAAGCATCATATCTGAATATATTAGTTAGAGCAGAGTTTCAGATGCTATCCTAGTGTGCCAGAAATTGCTTGTGTAAAGGTATCTACTCATATGCTCTTACATAGATCAATTAAGGAAACATATTTTGTCCCATTACACAAATACAATGGAAGTAGATGGAGAAATATTGGAGTGTTTCACATTCTAGAAGACAAATCTTAGACAAAGGTTAACTTCAAAAACAGATCCGAGGCTTCCACAAGCCAGAAAAATGTAAGAAATGACAGTGTGCTATTTTCCTCTATGCAGCTTTAGAATTTTTCCGTATTCAACTTTTAAATCCTAAAATTTAAAGAGACAAAAGATTCCCAAGTAGAAACCTAGTACAGAACAGAAAAAGCAGGCTTTTTTTCTAACATCTTTGGTTGTCTTCCCGTATAACTTGCTGTATTTTTTTTGTTTGGTAACAGTACTTGCGCTTACCTGGTTTAAATAAAACTATGAACTGAAGAGCATATTCTGCTTCCAAACAGTATAAATCATCTAGAAAGCGACAATCCACCTAAAGGAAATATTAAGTCACTACTGATTGTCCACTCTGTGCACATTAGAAAGAGAAGATTCAAGACGTCTGGTTGCAGATCCTGTACTATGCAAGTTTGTAAGTGGCAGAAAGAAACAGCAATTACTAGAACATCTCATTGATATGAATGAAGTAGTTTCACAATGAAAAGAGATTAATCTTAAACAGAAATCAGAATAATCACTCACTGTTCCATTACAATGCTGTAAGATTCTGACTCTCACCTGTAAAAATGGGTGAACCAGTAAACGATTTTTACTCAGTTTTGATGAGAATAATGAAGACTGCTCTAGCGACTCAAAGTATAGTATAAAAAGAATTATGTAGCTCTTGTTTAAATTCTAGGGAATTTCTGTTCTTTCTCATTTCTACTATTAAGAAAATTAAGTATAATCAATCTTGCACCATGTTATGAAAACTTAAATTATGTTTTATCCACTTACGATAAACAGTGCAGAAGGGTCATCTCAAATGAGAGAGCCATTTCTACTCCTCCAATACTTTAACCCAGAGAATGAAGGCTGTCCTGGATATGGCTTGACCCCCAGTCATCTCTTGATCTCAAATTCCATATTGAGGCCTTGTTTCTCAGAAATAAACTGGGAAACAATAAGTAATGAAGAGAAGCATACACCAAAAAAAAAAGTCTACTCATTAGTACTTGCTCTCCTGCGGCTGCAGCCCATATGTGCCTTCCACATGCAATGAAAATATTCAGCATTGCTTCCACTTCCCAGCTCCTGCACACCAAGTTACAACAATTGAAAACACAGTTTGTGGGTTTCTGTTTGGTTAAATCACAGTTAGCTAGGATATACACTGCCAAATACTTTAGAAGCTTCACAGCAAAAAAGGACACTTTGTCCCCATCTGAGATCAACAATCTTTTCTTCAGGTTTTGAGTTTTGTTCAGTCTTGTGCGGGTTTTCATAATATCATGGACAGCACCATTGCTAACAAAATGGCACAAGATGCTATGGAAAATTGTGTCTAATGGACATGAAAATATCCACAATGAAATGCGCTTTAATAGTGAAGTGGTATTTACAGAGAATAGTTTTATTTGGGTAACAACAAAACCCATTCTGATCACAACAATCTGTTCCACAAGCTAAAATACCTCATTCCTTTCTTAAAGGATCTTAGAGTCAGTATTGAAGTCCTAAATCAGAAAAAAACAAAACAAAGCAAAGCAAAACAAAAAACAAAAACAGAACAAATCCCCCCCTCCCCCCCAAAACAAACCCAGATATTGGCTTAAAAGGTCATTGTCTTCCCTCTAATTTAAAAACATACTAATGCCAAAGACTGTTCTTCTGCAAAAACTATACGTTTTAATATAACTTAAAATTCCCAATTCCTCATAAATTTTATCCAACAGCTGGATTAGATGTGGATTTTGGGGGTGTAGCTTAATAAATTTGTTTCATAACATTCGTAGCATAACATTAAAATTCAAATTTTCAATTCAACCTTTTCATAAAAGTAACTACTGAAATCCTAACCAGATGCATCTAAATGATTGTTCACAATCAAAAAGCTTCAGAAAAATAGCTAAAGCAATGTCTTACAGATCAGCAGTTACAGCAAAATGCTCACCAGTAGACAGGTTAAAGAAGAGAGTTTAATGAACAGGGTACACAGAGATGACTGAAGCAAATCCCCGAAATACCAAGTCCTACCTGATGGATCAAAAAGGAAAGTCAAACAGGCACCAGTAGCAGTTCTTCCCTTGTAAGGCTAGGGAACTGATAATGCAAGGCAAGTTGTTTACCCGCCCATATTGATGCATGTATTTAAAAGAAAAAAAAAAGGAATTTCTAAATCTGATACAGTGTTCTATGCTATAACTTTACTCCTGTTATACTACAGTCAGATCACCATGCTTAATGAGCAATTCTGCAGCAAAACATACGAGATGACTGAAGATGACGACTAAGCTTTATTCACAGACCGGCAGCAAATCTTTGCTGTTTATAAACGTCCATGGGTTGCATGTTCCCTTGTAAAAAGCACATTAATTCTCTGTGTAAATAGTTTCAGTATTCTTACAAAGCAAAGGGTCTTGAGAAAAATGGAACTGCTATAGGCAATGGTAATTTATACAAAATATTCTTTTAACAGTCAATTTTGCTCAAGAGGAAGCTGCTAAATTATGCAGCAGCTGATTTTTATTTATGTTTCATGTGTAAATGTGATTAGCTGAACATGAACAGTCCAATCTCAAGTTAAAACAACACGCATAGTCAAAGGTGAATGACCACCTGGGAGAGGTGGGGGCTGATTTTACTATTTACTTATCAGTGAAAGCCAGTAATTTTTTTTTTTTTTAAGTTCAGTGCTGTGAGACTGTAACCCCAACAGCTGTGAACAGATGATGATTAAGATTTAAATCGGGATCAAATCCTATTAGAGGCTATAGTGATTTTCCAGACAAAAAAAGCAATCACCGATTACTAACTTCTTGACGATTAACCAAGCACAATATTACCAGATACTCTCAGTTCTCCAGTAACAATGATCAATTTCTTACTTTTGCTCCATTTTTTTTTCACTCTCTGAAGGACTAAAATTTGTGGAATCTGTTGTAAGTGGTAGCTTTGGCATCATTTTTGAGACCCACTTCCCATCATGCACCTACCTGCTAGACACTCAAGGAAACTGAAACAGAGAGCAAAGAGCACTGAATGATTTTAGGTACTACAGAAATGAAAGTGATCAGGCGTCAAAAGCAGGCAGGCAGAAAAACCAAACAACTGCAGCCTGTTCTGACAGTCTGCAACAGTATGTCTTTATAACCAAAATTCTGTTCTAAATTTGAAAATTGGTACTTTTTCTCTATTATCATAATAAAGTACAACTCTGTGTATTCACTGTCTATCTCTCTTTAATTGTATGTTCATCACAGAAAGAAACTGAGTGGGACTTTTTCCAAACTGTTAAAGACAGCAGACATTATCACCTTTGTTACATAGTATCCATTTTCATGCTCCAGAAATACTACTTACCCTAGAAAGGAAGTCTTACATTACCAAAAGTAGAGTCAAAACAAAAATCAGTTTTAAAAAAATGGTCAAGAAATACCAGCAAGCCATAACAATGGCAAGCCACAAGAACTCAGATTTAGTTATGGACAACTCATGATAAACTGAAAGCCATTCAGTACATACATAATAGAGCAGCTTCTTTGAGGTGAACTCACTTGATCTCCATAACAGTACAAAAGGTCTCTGATTTCCTAAAAATATGCACATAATAGTATACTTGCACACACACAAAAAGCAAATTTATTACCTTTTGTTTTAAAAACGTTGTGTTCAAAGAGTTTGTTTCTCTTATATTAAGTATGATACAAATTCAGATACTCTTCTCTTTTGCCAAGGACCTGTCATCATGCATCAGAAACTGAGAAATGTCAAACAAACTGAAACACATTAGAATGGTTAAAAAAAAAATCATTAGCATCATGGCTCTCCTGTAACTGCATAAATGATAAACACATCAATATTTGCTGATTAATCAGCCTAGAAATAATTTGCAATGTAATCACTCAGCAGAGCAACAAAAAAATAGAAAGAAGGAAATTCAAGACTTCATCTTCTTTCCATAAGAAAGATCAGCAGAAATATTTCATTCAACCAATAACACAACAATTATTTTCAGATGTAAACACCTTGCCTTGTTATGACACTGTCAACACAAGTTCTTTGCTTCAAAACCTGAAAGGACAAAAACCCCAAGACTTCATTGCCAACCTGTGATGCTGTGCAGAAGTGGTATGCCAACATATCTAAAGAATAGCACTTTTCATAGTGTGGACGGTTAATTTTTTTTTTTTTTTTTTTTTTTTTACAGCTGGACACATGTACTGGCAGAACTAATGGGTAGAACTTTTAGTCATTGTTGCTTCTTTTAACGATATTTCTCTGTGAGACAGTAGACTTGACTTATGAATATAATGAAATGCCCTGACAGGGAACAGTGTTGACTACAAGACATAGTGAGAAGAAAGTGAATTTTCTAGGCTCTCCAGAGAACTCTGTAGTACTTGTTTTCCCATTTAGCATTAAAAAAATGTTTCACATTCACTACTGCCTTGAGCATTTCAGTGCCATCCAACAAAATTTCTACTTAATGTAGCAATGGAAACCAAGACGCTAAGATGCAGAAACATAATCATGCCCGTTCTTCAAGAGGAGAGGGGTATCACTACTAAAGGCCAACAAAATCACAGGCCTTAATGCAGCTGACTACAAGAGGCAGAGCAAGTGATAAATCCAGAGGACAGGACACATTCTGGAATACGAGCACAGCACTCATCCAGGTGAGGACAGCTTTGAGCACTGTCAACATGTGAACACAGACCACATTTAAAACGTCAAACAAAAACCATGCTATATGGTCCACCAAGAAAACTGGGTTTATAGTGAAATTTATTGTTCTGCTTCCTAATACAATAAGCTACAAGGTACATACAGTATAAAACGAGAACGGCCACAAAGCAAAAGTGGTAGACAATCTGTGACAGTACAGTGGAGCTAACATCCTCTGTCTAATCCTTCCACTTTATCCTACAAACATCAGCTAAAACTACTGGCCCTCCCCTTCCCTCCCCTCCAAAAATATTAAAAAGGAAACTGTCTCTCTTATTTAGGAGCAGTGGGATCTTTTTTGTTTTCTTTGAGGGCAATGGTTATCTGCCAATATCTCAAGAAAATTGCTGAAACTAAAGTAACAACAGAAACAAAAAACTGTGAAAGTGGGAGTGACATGACCCATGCAAGATGCTCATGACACCTTGGTTCACTTCTCCTCAGAGCAAATGGCCTGTAAAGAAAGGAAACGTTAGTTACACCAAATAAAACTGCAATTAAAATAGTCAGAGTTAAGATACAGTAAAAGCACAATGTGAACTAGACAAGACTAGGCACCCAGCTAAACTATCCCTTTACAAAGAATACATACTCTTTGTTAACAAGGTTTGGGGATCTTTCTCCTTTAATATTTAGATTCTATACAGGAGAGTATAGATTGTCATGTACCCAGATGACACCTAGTATACAAAGCTCCAAATGAAGGAATTTGTTTAGGAGAATTCTAACCATTATATGAATTGTATCCTAACCTCTTAACCCACTCCCTTCCCTCCCTGCCACAAATCCCCCAAACCCAAAGCCAAAAGCACACAAGATAGATGAATATTTACCTTAAAAGGCACAAAAAATCCATTTAACCACTTTTTCATATATACTTGGTGCGATTGAGAGCTCTCTCAGCCAGATGACCACTTTCATCTGTTATTTTCTCCCAATCTGTTTGTCCAACCACAAAACCAATCGCCCTTTTCCTGTCTGCATCTTTCTTTTCTTCTAGATCGGCCCACCGCACCTACGGAAAACACACTATCAGTGGGACAATCTCTTAAGAAACTATGATACGCTTCTAAGACTTTTGCAGGTGAGAAAAAAGGAATTTTAATTGGTACTCATTTTAATTCTGTCAGGTAAGTATAAACATTTTTTTTTCTTTCTGAGAGATAAAGATGGAAACTATAGCAGTTACACTATTTTTAAATTTTTAATAGCCTGAGTGTTCTATGAAGGGGAAAAATGGAGTAGATGATTACATACTCCATTTCTGTGCTATAATTTTGAGAGTCAAAGTGTAATTGTCACTCTTCCTTCTCTGTTTAAAACAGCACTTTCTGCATGAAGAATGATCAAAGATTTATATATTGTTCACTGAAGTACAGTACTGTAGCAAAACTCAGAATTTTAGTCCTAAGTGAACTGAAACAGGAGGGCATATAACACATACTGAACTCCTGTCTTTATTTTCTGTAAGACTTGTTTTTTGATTACACAATGTAAAAACCTAGAAGTAGATTATCAAGTTAGAGGACATCACTGCAAAGGATATTTTGGCAATGAATGAGTTAATGACGGCAGAATTTTATTCTCTAGTTTCTGTGATATATTTCTATTTTTTTTTCTAATACTAGTTCATGTTAAGTAACTTCATCCATTTGTTAACTTGCATCATTACAATTGCAGCCATTGCATGTGCAACTCTGCGATGAAGCAGACAGCTTGCATTCATCCTGTACCAGCAGCTACAGTCACTCCCTCATCCACGAACACCGATATCAAAGTGGGGAAGGGAGAAGGTGATGATGAAGGGCTACACTCTAGTTGAAACAAAGCTGGAACAGGTTTCTTCCTTGACATCCTGTTTACTCCCATTCACACAGATTTATTACTCATTTTTTGTCAGCATCACACTACCTGAATTTCCTCAGACATTCCTACTGATGAGCAATACCTGCTTTCTTCCTCCATCACTATTTCTACAAACATCTAGTATCTCCATTCCCTTCATGCTTACTCTCTAGTACTATCCAGGCTTTCTTGACAATACAAAGCAAAGATCAAACATAGATAATTAACTCAATTTATCAAAAAAATCAACAAGCATCAAAAATCAACAAATTGCATTTCCTAATTTTCCTTAACTAATGAATAGTTAAGCTATTCATTAAAAAAAGTGTTATACCATGAAGACCAAAGTTATTCGGATCAGTTTCATTTTAAATCTTAAGACCCAAATCCAGCTATAAGCTGCGTAAGCTTCACTTCTTAGAAGTTTTAATATGCAATAGCTGTAATATACCTAACAAAAGGTAGATTAATAAAATAGTATAATTTCTCAGAATCTGCATTCTATAATCATACTATCTCATCAGAGAACACAACATAAGAACAACACTTTCAGGTTCCTCTAAAGTAAAGTGTGTCATTTGTGCATGGCACCTTCCTCAATTTCAAAATCATGCCATACATAGTTAATTTTTGTTATTTTTAATTTCACATTTCATTAATACATCATCTGTTTACCTCTGGATGACCCTGCTCTCAAAGAGTATTAATACAGAATATAATGGAATGGCAGAACTAAAGGAAGTGGGAATGAAATTCCTATATTCACAGGCACCAGGTGTCCTGATACAAACTCTTGCTCAGAGACTTTCAAACAGGTTATTTACAGACAGCAAGTCATTAGAAAATTTATTACCCTCTTCTTTCCAGGTTCAGAAGCACGTGTATCATAGTCATCTGGAAGCTGTAGATAATCTTCCATTCTGCTGGCAATTGCTTCCCAGTCACGCTTCCTTTTAGCGCCAGTCCGCAAACCATCCAGCTTGTCTGTGAACAAACACAGAGCCTCAGAGTTAAAGGAGATTTTTTTTTCTATTATTCTTACAAAAAAGGCAAGAGTGGTAATATTTTCAAAAGAATGAACACAACTCGTACATCCAGCTTGCCTTGGTAAGTGGAATGATGAGAGTTGAAAGAAACTAGAGAAGACTCAGCACCATTTTCAAGTTTTATTGATCTTTCACATTAACTCTGTGGCATTAACACTCCATCTTGTTTCTGTATGAGGGAGAAAAACTTGCTTTTCCTTGCTTTTCTGGATGTTCATACCATGTGGAGTCCGTCCTCAAGTACAACACAGCTATAAAAAGCTGTTTAAGGAACCACAAATGCAGCTGTTCTGTACTTTAACACAATACTAATGCAGTAGCATTTCTTCCCAGAAATATTGTATCAAATGCAACATATCAGGGAATAAATGATGATCATATAATTAAAAGCACTGAAGACCAATTTTTGAGATACTCTTCTGCTTAGCAACTCCTCCCCAACCTGACCTCCCTTTCTTCCTCCATCCTCTTTTCCTCTTGCCCCACCAAAAAAGTCTTCCAGAACTGAAAAAAAAAACTCAGAATCTTTCATTTCACGATGCCAAAGCTCAGTCACAAATATCTGAGAAGTTTGTCCAACAGTCATCATTTTCTTCTTTTACTTATTGAACTAATAAAGCACGAGGAGAAACAATTCCACTCCTAGGTTCTAAAATTTTGTTCCTCTTTGCATACTTATTTTTGGTGAAGAAACAGTATCTTCTTGAAATTAGGTAGCAAACTGCTTTTGCTAATGAGATGAAGTAATTATTCATCGTAAGATTAAGAACAATATGGCATGACAATGAAAACCAGCTTTACAATGCAGAATAAACTCTAGTGCTTCTGTAGTTGATTTATGCTAATATTTTTTAAAAAACAACAATTAAATAAATGCAGAGGGAATAGTAAGATCGTTAGGTACATTCTGTAAACCATTTCCACTGATGACAGTAACACTGACATAGTTAAATTTGCCCACAAAAGGCCTCTGAAACAACTAAATAGAAGGCAGCATATTTTCTGGAGAGCAGAAGAGGATGTTCAAAAGTATGCATTCAAAGAAACACAGTTCAGAGATGAGTTTTTTGCTTAATGTGCGAGAGAGAATAACAACAGAGATGTGAGGCAATGGTGATGCAGACATGCTAGTAATATCTAAACGCTGTAAACTAGTGAAGTCACTTCTCCTTATAGATTCTTAAAAATTTAAAGAGCCGTATCTCTGCCCCATTCTACTGGAACAGATACAGAGTTTTTCCTAGGAAAATGTATTAATCCCCACCACCAAAATAACGTCATTGAAGAAAAATCACGCAAAAGTATTTGTATCTGTTATATGGTATCTTGTGCAAGACTCAGTTAAGGTTCTTCTTTTGTTCTAAGTTAATTCTGCCAAATTTGAAGCTCTATCTCCACAGAAAGACGTCACTTCCTCTAGAAGACAAAAGTCATGTACAGAATATCCTTCTGTTACTCCAGCATAACAGGTACTTGTACAGTTCTTCAGCATGACTCGCAGACCGATCAATGAGACCATTCATAGCATAAGGGTTCCCAGAACACTTCACAGTTAGAGTGAGCTACAAACACACTGAGGAGCATTTAGGATCATGCAGAACCAAAAATTCAGGAGCTCTCTGCTGACAGTTATATACACCCAGACACATCCTTGCTGGAAGGCAGCATCTGATGTAACATGCTATGATACAAGTGCATCTATCTCATCACCAGCGTGGAAGAATTCATTCTCCCACTTCCTCTTGCACACAAGTCAAAATCATGCCAATAAATGTGTAACTCAAATATAAACAGAGAAGCTCAAGAGGCCTTTGGAGTATGAAAATACCCCCATGTCCCATTTTTAAACAGTTTGTTATCTCTGCATGGAATTTATTTTTCATGCTTATGTCCTTTTGTGCTTGAAGATGTATTGTCTTCCCAAAGAGATCTGCCTCCATCCACACTAACGTGGTACACATGCCATAGAGCAAACACACTCTAAGTGTACGTCAAAAGTCTAGCACAAAACATTATTTTCAAAGTGTTTTTTTTCCTCTCTGAAATGAGACAGTGTCATTTCGTAACCTTAGTGTTTGCGCATATTTATGGACTATCATCACTGTAAACCTATCACACAAATCATTTTACCATTTCAAAGTTAAAGACAATGAAGTAGCAGCTTTCTTGAAAATCCACAAAACTTAAATTCATCAACTCACCTTTAGAATTTTAATAATAAAAGCAACTTAAAGTGTCCACTGCTTTGCTTCTTCAAAAACAAAACACTGAACTAAATGAATCAAAATTTTGTACTTCTTATAAAAAAATAAACTATGATTTTAGTATAATGCTAATTGTATTATAGAGCCAATTTTACAATGGTATCAAAACTTCAGCTATGGCAGAGATCATTTCTCCATCCATAAAAGTTGTACAGCCTGGAATTAATCTTGACAGAGGGTATTGTGCTGAACACTTCAAATAAAGCCTGATTTTAGAAACATTAGTCTATTTCTGATAAATGTAAATAAAAGAACTTGTGTATAGTATGCACAGGCACAGACTGAAACAGGAGTGATTATATTTTAAATAGAAATGTGGCCATGCAGTCACAACACATAAGGAAATGATATACCAGCACATACACTCAGGGGAATGCACATTGCTGCCAAAGTAAATGGGAACTAGAGCAAGAGCTCTGAGGGACAGCGATTGTCCCAAGTCACCGTCGGAGCTAAAAACTCACAGCTTCCAGGTGTTCTATGAGGCATACTACAATCAGTAAAATCTTGCCTGTAACAATATCTACTCAAAAAAAGTACAATAGGATTTAAATTACTTTTATACTGGATTTATATTACTTCTGTAAATGCATGTCCTTTGGGAATGGAACAATAAACACAGTGGGCAAGCCAAGTCCCAGGAAATAACTCTACTTTGGAATGACAAATGCATATTAACAGTTTATATGCCATTCATGAAATAATATTAATTGGTCACCTATTGAAAGGGGCTTTAATTACCAAATGCAAAATCCTATTGTGATTATTCTTACTCACAGACTGCAAGTATTTATAATGCATACTTCCAGCTAAAAGGTGTTTGTCCTTGCAGAACATTTTTTGAAGAAACAATATTCATTACATTGAGATGTCAGGCTTTTTAAAAATGTGTATTCCATCACAATTTACTTTTAATCTGTAGTTCTATATATTTGGAAAAAAAAAGGATTTTAGAGGGTAGTTATAATACAAATAAAACTTTAAATACAGATTTAATAATTTAATGAAAAGATCTTCTCAACACTTATATCTATAATGTGCAGAATGCTAACACTCAACTTGTTAATTGAGGTCTGATTGTTAAAAGATTATTGCAATAGCCTTGAAAGTAACTAACTCTAGCATTAAGACTGACAGTGCTGCACACTCTCCATTGTGTATTTATAATTTATAATAAAAATGCTTTCTAGGTCATGGATATGGGAAGAAACTCAGTGCCATTCTTTGCTTCTATTTGTTAGCAGTATTTTATCTCAAGACAGGGAAATTTGGAAAATTATCTGTAAATTTCCACATAAGCCACACAGGCCATGCAGCTAAGAACTGCACATAAAATGTAAATATTTTTAGAACATACTTTGGACTCTTGTGAGATTTGTAAAATACATGGGATGTCTTTAAAATGTTCACGCTAGATAGTGGAAGGTATTTGCTCCTGTTAATCAGGATTCGAAGAAAAGTCAAGGTTATTTGGAATGCAAGACAATACATCAGATATTTACATTCTTTAACACTACAGTTTTCTAGTACTATCATCTCCTGTATAAACAAAAATGACAAGCTAAGATATCAGAGTAATTACCTCTAATTTGTCAGACAAATCCTCAGTGAGTTCTGTCTTTAATTGCCTAGTTGCTTGATATGCCTGATCCCCTGAGCACAAGGCTCCTCTGGCAGTACAAGCTATCGCAGGTGTCAAGAAGTCCAGATACTTCATAAACATTTAAATGACTTAAAAGAGCACAGCAGCAGAAGAGGTGGTGCAGCTAAGTGGTGAACAGCAGGAAATTAAGGGCTCTTTTACATAAGCCAGAACTTCTGGTGCTATTCCTATTGTGCAACCGTGATTTTGGTTATTGGAAAGCAGTGATACACAGGGCTGTGTTACACATGCAGGAGTAAAGGAGTTAAGACATGCCGCGTCGCATTCAGATATATTTGTTATATAACCTAAAAGTGACAGAAATAATAATCTTATACAGATTCTGTTACGCATCTTGAACTAGTTCCATAACTGTTCACTAACAAACATACATAGTGACTGGAAACTCCTTGTACACATGTACACACTCCATCATGGCTCTGGTGCCTGCATTTCCATCAAAAGTTGCTTTTGACTTTGATGGTATCACCTATGTATCATGCAGCCAAAGCAATAAACAGAACAGAATAGTAACAAAAATAGTCTCCTCACACTCATTTTGTAAATCCATTTTTTGTCCTACTAAAAGAATCCTAGGACTCTCCCAGAATTTTGAAAAGCACAACAAATTGTAACTTTTCAATATCTAAGTTACTGAAAAGAAACACAAAGACAAATTGTTCAGAACCTACTTCAAAGTATGGCTTTTTTTTTCTTGTACGTCTTGGAGAACAAGAAATACCTTCAATACAATTCCCTATTGTGCTCATCTTCAGTAACATAAGACGTTATTGAAGATTTAGGTATAAAAAAATGTATGCAGTATGAATAAGAATGCAATGTAATGTAAGTCAATTCTTGGCCTTTTACAACAGAGAGGAGATGAATAAAGAATAGAAATATGACGTTTTAAAAATCTGAGACAAAATTATTTCCTAAAACTTACAGAAGAACAATTAATGAGTATACCACACAGTGATGGTCAGAAAGATCGGAATTCCCTTGCTTCTGCAGAATACAGAAATTGCCATTTTGTAGAAACGCTTTTATAGTTTCAGATACATGTGTATGAGATTAGTACATTTGTTTTTCGTAAGGAGGTACAGTAGAAATGTCAATTCAAGCTCTGCAAATATCATCAGATACCAACTGTAAGAAACAGGAAAAAAAATAAATACCCACCTAGCTTTGCCTCAGAAGTGTCCATCTCCCATTTGCTTTTCGGAATGTAACCCTAAATCATACACAGAGAGAAGCTCGGAGGATTAGAGAGAGACACACATGCATATCACTTTTGAACTGGAAACAGCATTAAAATGGGAGCTTAAAATATTTCTTTTTGTAAGGAACAGTTCTTGTTATCAGATGAAGGAAACAAGTTACTCAGTAATTCACAACTTCTATATCCACTTCCCATTCAGTGGGAAGCCCTTGCACATCACTACAAGAGAAGTGCTCTTTGCAAACACAGAGCTCCAGACTGAGCCTAACAGAAAGCAATGGCACTGAAACTGTGTGCACAGTTACTAGATTGCACTATCCCAGGTGGTACAGTTACGCAACACAAATTATCAGACATTATTCAATGCTCATATGTACAAATGTAAAGATTATGTTAGTCACATATTTTTAAGAGTGTATTTCCAGAACAATTTAGTACACACAAGTTTCATTTAACTACCCTCTTAAATGAACTTACTAAATTTTTGTATACGTGGTAAGTCTAGAACTAAACAAAATTATTTTTCTAGCTTAAATAAGAGTTAGTATCTGCTGAATCAGTGTGATTTAAACATTACTGTTCATTTTAGAATTATCTTTTTACTATAGTTCAAACGACGATTCTTTCTAAACACTTGAAATAATCTATCACCATGCATTTTATATATAACATCTTTAGTGAATTTATTCATTGCACACAAAAATAAAGATCTTAAATTTGGTAAGAAAATAATTATTTTAGATATTTTCTTGTAATCTTTTTATTCTATAATCTTGAAGAAGTAGATCCTTACAAAGCAATCACTTATAACTAACTTCAGTTGAAATTTGGCATGAAACTACTTGTTCGTCTGCAGTCAAATGAAAAGTCCAATACAATGAACCTGAACCCCCATGAGATTCAAAGCCATCAATTACAAATGATTTTTAACAGAGAAAAGACCTACTTTAAGAATGCAAAAAGAAAACACACTTCATTTGGAGAGCTTTACTACACTAAATGTTCTGCTCTCCTTAGAGACTACCTCCACTGTAGTTAACATATACTTCTATCAATAAATGCTAAGACTTACTAAATCTGCAATTCTGTAATCTGTATTCCGTATAATTCTAAATCTGTAATCTGTATTCCAGCGAGTCACACTGCTTTTGCTTATATTCAGCATTGCTCTTCCAATTATTTTTCTATCACACATATTTGAGACTATCACAGACTAAAATATTTATTATATTTTTAATCAAGCATGTATTTAATATGAACTAAGACAGTTTGCACTGCAATATTTCATTGTAATGAATATATGTTTCATATATTATACTTTTAAACCAAGCTACATAAAAATTAAACCACAGCTAGAAGCCTGTATTGTACAAACTGATGTGTGGCACACTGGTGAGAACACTAAGTGAAATGCATCAATAATTCATACCATCAAGCACAGAAAAGAAAGAATTGTCAGAACACTACAAACAAGCCTATAGGAGTTGATAATAGCAACAAAAGAGTGACTTTGATGGTGTGAAATTCCCTACTGCGTGCTGAATCTGTATTAATATCCCAGTAAGAAAAGGTTCAGGGTAAGAAAAGGTTCAGACTTAATGCCTTGGTTCAAGACAGCTGGATTTTTCAAGGACATTTCCTAGAAGGCAGGAGCTTCAGACCTCTCTTTTTCCACGTGATTAAGAGAAGCACAGCAAAACGAAGCAACAGATACCAAATACAGTGTACTATTCCACCTTCCTGTCTGACATAATTCTCTCTGAAATTAGCCACATGACTGAATAGCAGAAATTATATACAGCAGACATTTCTATTTTTCACCTCTTGCAAATCGGAATAGAAACCATTTTTATATGTAGATTTACATGTAGATTACTTTTAGTTACTAACAATGTGTTTCATTTTCTTCGCCAAGCTTTCTCCTTGACTTGTTTTATGTGCTGAACGTTAGGATCCTCCCCACACCCATAAAAACACACATACACACACACACATACATGCACATGTTTCTCTCAAAAGCTAAAGACACAACTTTCTATTTTAGATATAATTCATTTTCAGGAAATAAAAATCTAGCAGCCATATTCTTGTAAATATGGATGTATCTTTAAAGTGTCCTTATTACACTTCATACAGTATTGTACTCTGCCAAAGAATAATTTAGTGAAGAGAATAAAAGAGTCATATTAGAGGGAAAAAAAAAAAAGTTTACTAAAAATCTACTCTTCCCATGATTTATTTTTTATTCTGTATTTCAACTCTTTTCTATACTGCTACTCACGAGGAAGAGTAAACTTTTATCAAGAAAATGGACTTAGTTTATCTCAGAAGTTTTTGGTTACTTCTTGTTGATCAGAATTTAACTGCTTGATTGTGGGCGCCAGGGCTTGACATGTCTAACACAATCAAGCACTGATCAGCTTGCAGCTCCAACACACACCAAAAAGTTAAATTAGGAAGACTTTGTGGACCCTTAAATATACATCTGAAAAATCTAGACCTCAGGGCAATTCTCTAACCCTCATTTATCCAAAAGAACTAACCCCTCAACTTTGAAATAGCTAATGACAACCAAATTAGGCAGGCTTGCCAAAAAAATCATGTTTCTTCATAACTGTTGCCATGATGTGTGACAGTTGAGAACATTTCTTTAGACACATGGAATGAAATAAGCTAAAGGAACCTTTGTCCATTCTTCCCATCCCTCCACTTGGTGTGATCTTAGACATCCTGATATTTTTACCTGCTGCTTTCCATGTTCCACTTCTATATAATCTGAAAAAAGAGCTAGGTATTGCAATTTATAGATGCGTTCAAGAGGCATGTTTGCCATGTTCCACTAAAAAGCTGTTTGTGGAATATATTCATAGATAATTAAAAAAAATCAGATTATCTTCTGAAACATCATTTTTCTTAGAAATGTGTAAGAAACAAATGACTAGATATGTGTATATTAACATCATACTGCTAGGAATGGCAGTGGATTGAATTTATAAAATTGAGACTCTCCTCAGACATACTAACAAACATTTTGTTAGAGATGGTTGATGTGTCTCCTACCAGTTCACTCTCTTCTTCCTCTGTTGTATCCTTCTTGGCTTCTTCTTTCTGGTCTTCAATATTTGCATCAAAATCCTCCATCTCCACCTATTCCAAAGTACAAAGACAGACATATGCTGTACTACTCGACTAATAACTATTATCTTTTTTTAATCGCAGAGTAAGCAGAAGATTCCAAGCTCAAACAGAAAAGGAAAATGGAATGACAGGGCTCATTCAGATATGTGCAATGATGCATCATGTATGAATATAGGAGCCATTTTTGCTTCCTTCAGAAGCAGGATCTCTTTTTGTTAAAATAAGAAATTGTGTGGGAGAGTAGCAATATTTTATTCTCCTCCTTCACATGCATTTTTTGCATTACCAATGTCTGTAACAGTATGACACTCCCCTTGCTTCACACGCAATTACACTTCAAAACTTATGTCCTCTGATATCGTGCATGTATTATAGAATACTTAAAACTCCCAAGGCCTGGAAAATTCTACATACTTTCATTAGTAAAACCTTGATGCATACATTAAACACAAATCTACATCTCCCCAAGTCTTCTTCAGAGCCGATCCTTTTGATCTTCTCTCTAAAATTACTAATTTTCAATACAAATAATCAGTAGATTAAGAGATAATCTGCTGACTTCATGACAAACTTGCAAAAGTCAACTGTTTTTCTACTTTAACAGGAGACCAGCTTCTATGGCCACAGCACAGAAAATGTTTATGTTCTGACATTAACATGCAGCTCTATTACATCCACGACACATATATGATCTACAGATTAGTCTATTGCCAGAGCTCCAGAAATGTCTGTCAAAGGAAAGGCAACAATATAGCAAGCTAACATATCAAGGTGTACAGAATAATGGATTAAAAAGGTTGCACACTTTTATATCTTCAGTTACATGCTGTTTATCTATTCCTTCATTCTCTGAAGCAAGTCTAGATTTCTAAAAGTAGGGTCCCAGAGGAATTAATGCTTAAATAAATGACTATTTTCTAATTATGATAAAAAAATTAATCGACTATTTTCCAGTTATGATTCAAATAAGCCAGTAATCTGGGTCCTAAGTTTCCTGAGAGTAAAAATACTCTTTTTCCTAGTACTCAAAAGTTGAAAAGAACACAGAAGCTTCAACTCTTCCTCCAAGAGAAATAAGCATTGACTCCAAAAAATGCAACTAAAAAAAAAAATTAATGCGAATCTGTGTTTGGGTAATTGATATTAGAACATTCATGTTTTTCAGAAGTCTGGCTTTGTATAGTGCCAAATATAGGACAGCAACATAGGACACACATAGGACAGTAATATAGGACAATCCTCTACTTATTTTTTTCAGTATAATCACACCTACATAGTTGATTATCTCAACAAGCACAGAGAGACTCACCTCTTCAATAGCAGCATCTTGCAATAGAGAACGAATGTCCAGACGCATCATGTGACGCGGTGCTGCCTCCCAGTGATCAGACATCTAATAAAAAAATACAAAAATAAAGCATCTCCAAAGACATAACAGATCTATGGACTGTTGGGTTTCTGGTCATGAATGAGATGCAACTGGACTTGAGAAAAGTCATTTCAATCAATCCCATGAAATTGCTATCAGCTCTTCTTAAAAGAAAAGTGTAAGCATCACGTTGTCTAAAGAGGATGAGCACTTTCCTACAACGGCAATCCTGAAAGTACAAGGAAACCTAACATTAATCCTATGACTCCAGACGTAAATGATTACCCTGTTAATTTCCTTTAACTTGCGTCCATGAATATTCCTCTTGGAACAGGTCTGGTTATCTGCACTCATTTCAGCTAAGTATACCTAGAAAGAGAAACACAATTATTAAATCTATTCTAAATCTATTTTAGAACCATTTTTCTATCTGCTGATATTCTCTGCAGTTGAACATTTTGAGATTAATATATTTCTAATTGTAGACAACAGTATTTTTCTTGAATACGGGAAGGACTATGTTTAAGTTTAGAAATACTATCATATGTCTTCTTGGTTCCATTACCTCAAAACCCTTAGTTTTTGCTGCACTCCAAAACTGTTCAAAATGTCGCACTCTGTCGTTGATAGCGTCAAGGATAATGAAGGGGAAAAAACCATCATCCAAGGTTTTTTTGAAAGTTTTGAACATACTGGTACGATAGGTCTCTTCCATTTCAGCTTCATACTCATACTCCATCACCTGAATCAAGGAAAAAGAGTTAAGAAAGATGACATATATTAAAATGCCGACATATAAATACCTTCAAGGAGGGAGTGAGTAGGGTGGGGCCAGCTTCTTTTCAGTGGTGGTCAGCAACAGGACTAGAGGAAACGGCCGCAAACTGAAGCACCAAAGTTCCACAGGAATTTAAGGAAAAATTTCTTAACAGTGAGGGTGACAAAGCACTGGAACAGGTTGCCAAGAGAGGCTGTGGAATCTCCTTCTCTGGAGATCTTGAAAACCTGCTGGGACGTAGTCCTGTGCCACGGGCTCTAGGTGACCCTGCGTGTGCAGGGGGGTTGGACTAGATGGTCTCTAGAGGTCCCTTGCAACCTCAATGATTCTATGATTCAATTACTGAATGTCATGAGCCCAAAGTATATTGGTATGAGAAAAACCATCCACCAAGTCATTTTTTAAGAACCTGCACAGTCTGCCCATAAATTAATTTAACTTGTTCTGGAAACAACCTTTGCATACTTTCAAAGCAATAGGTTGAAATTTTTAATTGCCACTGTGTTGTTCCAGAATATCTTGAGAAATAAGCAAGACAAGCAACGTAAAAGTACCTTCTTTTTCACTTTTTTCCCTGTATCTGGGTCTCTCTCTTCTTTTTCTACTTCAGTGATGAAATAGTCATCCAGACTGAGCACTCTTGGTGCAGGTCCTCCACACTCTACTTCCTTATCCTGGGAGGAATGCAAAACAAACAAATAACATATACTCTTCCACTCTTGCATACCTGTATAAATTCTATTCTGCTACAAAGGATCCCCAAAATACCTGTAGCACAGAGCAGTTAACCTGCTCTGTAATCAAAACAAGAAAGTAGCATTCCTAATACTTGCAACTAGTGAAGAGGATTCACATGTCACATGGAGATATGGAACATGAAATAACCACAGGCTGAAATTCCAGGTCTTCATCTTGTTTCTTCAAAAAGTTTAACTTAATTTCTTCTTTTGCATATTGGACAATCAGATAGGAAATATAAGCAGCAGCAAGCACAAAAGGAAAGCACCACTACAGAGTGAACAACTGGTTACATACCCTGATGAGTTTTGCTACATGTGTCTTTCCACTGCCAGGCAATCCCCGCATAATGATTACAATCTGAAACAAAGATCATATAAGAGAAAGTAAGAGCACGTGCTGCACATACCACATATTTTAAAGGAACTCTAATGCAAAAAGAAAAAAAAAATCTTTTAGAAAATCATCTGCTCTGAGCTCACAATTTTTGCATATCACAAAGCCAGCTCCATGCCTCACTCACTGCCTGTTTTACAAACCAGGCTGTGATGAACAGCAGTAGTTCCACAGAAGTAATAACAGTACATGATGTTAATCATCTCGGCAACTAAAAATGTTTCAGATAAAATTCACTGTACAAATTTTGTTTAAATATTTCACAGCCTGAATGCTCTGAGCTCACAATTTTTGCATATCACAAAGCCAGCTCCATGCCTCACTCACTGCCTGTTTTACAAACCAGGCTGTGATGAACAGCAGTAGTTCCACAGAAGTAATAACAGTACATGATGTTAATCATCTCGGCAACTAAAAATGTTTCAGATAAAATTCACTGTACAAATTTTGTTTAAATATTTCACAGCCTGAATCTTGTTCATTCTTGAATCTTGAATCTTCAGATCTTGAATCTTGAATCTTCGCCTACGGCGAAGGCAAACCCTCAGACTCTCTGTAAAACCAAACGTTTCCTCTGATACATTAAAAACCTAAAGTGAAGTTCTCAGAAGCACATAAAATATACAAATACTACCAACTAAAAAGGATTTCATCCTAGCATTTCTAGAGGGTTTACTACTCCTATGGACTCCTTATAGATACGCAACAAAACTCTAGGCATTAAGCAAAGGAATGAGCAGACTTTCCAGTGCTATCCCAAATGCAGACCTTCCCAATACCCTACACAAACGAGAATGTTATCTAAATACAGACCCTGTAGAAACCGACTGCTGGGCTCAGAATGCATACTCACTCTCTCTGGCCTACTGTCACGTCCTGGTGGCTTCAAAATATCATCTACATTTTTAGATTCTGGCTTTCTTTCCACTCGTGGAGCAGGTGGTGGCTGACGGGGCATTGATGGAGCAGAAATAGGAATCCTTTCCTCAGGGTAATTTCTGCGATCACCTTCAAATTTCAGTGATTAGACAGAAGAGTTTTCTTAGTTCAAGTAAAATAAGAAATTTAAGACACTCAGCATCTGTCAAGGTTTTTTAAACAAATGCTCAATATTTTAGGAGAGATTCATGGATGTTTCCCTGAAACAATTCAAAGTTCTAATTCTGGAACAACCGCAAATCAAAGACTTTTTTTTTTTTCTTTTTTAGCAGAGTATCTATTTGTTTCTTTCCTGATCTCATCACTATGGAGAAACAGAAAACTGCATGGCACTACTCAAATAAAATTTCCTGAATGTTATACTCTAAAAGAAATACTGCAATTGAACCAATCTCCTCCTAAGTCCATCCATGAGTCCATATTTTTCATAATATGACTTCTGGACTGAGAAACCATACCTCCAAACATGGAAGGCCCATGCTCATATGCTGGACGGTCTGTCTTTCGTTCATATGGTGGTCTTTCAAAACCACCTCTCCTGGAAGAGGGATGATCTTTCTTGTCACGGTAAGACTGAGTCCTCGTAGGTGTAGTAGGAAGAACCCTGCCAAAAGAGTATTCCGGGTATTTCTAGGATTCCAGAGATAAAGACCATGTGCCTCACAGTCAAAACCGATAGTCTGATAACCAGTACAGCTTGAATCAGACTGATTTTAACAGTATTCCAAGACCACATACCTGTCATCTCGAGGATGACGCTCTTTTTCAAATCTCTCTCGTTCATAGTCCACTGAACCGCGGTCTCTGTGCAATTCCCGCTCTCTCTTGAAATCCCGGTGATCTGTGTTTAAATTACCTTGACGTTCAAAATACGGCTCGCGATCCCTTTCTCTGTTGTAACGATCACGCTGGTTGGGGTGGTCTGACAGGAGAACCCCACAGAAAACAAAACTAGTAAAACACATCCTGAACATTTTAACTTCTTTAAAGGAAAAAATAACAAACAGGAGTGCAGGAAAATATACAGAAATATATGACACAGGGCAAGAATAACTTTAGTTGGCCACTGAATCACTTTCCAAGCTGTAACAGACAACCGTATCATGAAATTCTACTTAAAACTATCACACTGCATTTTTAAAAAGGTGAAGTCATTACTCACAGTACTTCTCTTAACCATATCATGTGTTATCTTTATAGGCTTCTGAATTCTGTCTTTAAAAAGTTACTTATTTTAAAATACACTTTTAGTGCCTGCCAACTTCTCTTAAGAGCTACCTAGCTGTCTGAGAGCTAGTCAAGCAATCCTTACCTTTTTGAAATGTTTGCCTCTCTGGCAGAGGTTCTGGACGCAGAGTCACCCTCTCCCCATATGGGATCTGTTCCACTTTACTGGTGGTTATATCTGTTTAAAAATAATCGGAAAAATTAAGGAGTCTTAAATTATCCCTTTTCCATCTCCTTTGCTCTGTCATGAAAAGCAATCGCTCAATGGCTTTTAAATTAACTGAAATACTTACCAAAAATTATCATACTGGATAATGCCAAATGGTCATACATTAACACAGAACACTGTGGTATCAGAAGTCTGAAGTGGGTCTGTGTGTCCACAAGTATCCATACCATTTTATCCAAAATGGTGAAGTTCTATTCTTAAAAGGACTCCAGGTAGCATGCACAGTTAGATTATAAATGCTAAAAGGCTATGAATGTTTCAGTAACCCACAGAACTAATATTAACTGAAATGCTCCCTTAGATTCCTAGTAGTCACATTTTTTTTTCTAGCAGTTTTCAGTAAAATATCTACTTAATTGCATTGATACAGCTTTAATTCACATTATGGCATTTTACAGAGAGAAGAAAGCTCTCTAAACAGCAGTGCACAATACAAGAATTTCTTTATGACATGACTCTTGTTAAGTACTGTAAGAATGAAAGAAATGTATTCCATCAAAAAGTTAATGTTAAATTTTACCCTTGATAACACTCTTGAACATTAAATACCTGTTTAAGGTGCATGTTCTTCAGAACTGGAACTCTGTCTCCCTCCCTGTTTGGAGGGCCTCCCATACACATTAGGCAGTATATAAATAACAGCAACAGTATTCACAGTCTGTTTTATGTTACTATTTTGTACCTAATAACTATAACAATCCAAAGAGCTTTTAAACAGAGATATTTCCATATACTGCTATAAATGGAGTAAGAGAAACTATCAATATAAATCTAAATATGCAGAAGTGATCACCTTAACCAATGTTTATTAGAAGCAGATGTGGCTATACACCATTCAGTCCACATGAAACAGCTCATTTTCACAGCTTTGAAGCGAACATTAAACTCAAGGCTGGGGAAATCAAAGAGAGCTTTTTGACTCCTTAAAATCGAGTTGCTTAGCATTAGATCATGAGGTATACAGCTCGCAGGCTACAGCATGCTTTGGGTGGCACACTAGGAAGCAGCAATCACATCTAACTCGCTCTCTATTACAGATCAATAAATACATTCTGATACTCACCCCGCCCGTGGCCATAATCCACGGTTTGCTGAATTACAGGTGCTTTAGGAACTGGTGGAATAACTGGAGGAAGTGATCCTGGTACACCTGATGGAACAGAGGTGTGAACAGCAGGTACTTTCACAGGAGAGGATACTGGTGGAGGCATCATTGATTCTTGCTTACATAATTCATACTCCATATTTGTTCCTTTATCCTCATTTGTGTCCCAGAGTCCATGGAAGGAATCCTCATCCCAGCGTTCCTGTTCCACAGCAGAAGGTGATGGTTTTAAAGACTGACCATTACTTGGGGTTGTAGTTGGAGCAGAAACTGGAGTATATGGCCTTGTCACAGGTGTAGTTGGCCTTGTCAGTGGGGCAGTTGTTCTTGTCACAGGGGTGGGCTGTCTGAACAACACGGGAGGCTTTATAATAACAGCAGGAGAAGGTTTAATAGCTTGGGCTTCTACTGGTGTCTCTGAAGATAGGTGAGAAGAAACCTAGATGCAGAAAGCACTTTAGATATAGATATGTAAACTAACCTTCTCTCTTCCTATGTAAGAAAGCAGTGGCAATCTGTAACTGTAGTTAGCTCTTCCTAGTACCTCCATCAAGGTACTACAATTAGGAGGACCTATTCCAAGAACTGGCAGCCTGAATTAAGTGATGATTATTCACTAAATGAAAGCCCAAATACTATTTTCTCCTTCAAAACAACCTTATCAACCTGAGCTCTCAAGACCTATCTCAGTTCAAAAGTGTCTACTGTTTGATTCCCGAAGACTCCTGCTGCCTGTGAGGACGCTGAAAAGGCCCAAAAGCAGGACAGCTTGGGGAGACACAAAAGGATGGAGGGGGCCATCTTCTTTCCGGAAGTCACCAGAAAAATTACCCAGAGACCACTATCACCTGGAAGCTCTTTAATGAAATCCGCATCAGACCAGTGTAAGCAATGCGCAGGTGCTGCCCACTAAAGAAAAATATTCCTTCATAAATTAAACCACTTCAGGGAACCTTAAACCACTTCAGGGAACCCCAACTACTGTGTCACAAGAATCCCTCTGGCAACATAGCAGATCCCAAGTTACAGGCAGCTGCCTGTATATTAGCAGCATCTAACAAAATTGGAGAATACCTGCAGATACAAGACAGACCTCGTCACAGCAGCGTGCCAAAGTCCTGGCAGAAATGTGAAGGCAGGAATCCCAGGAAAGATAATAGATGTTTGAATACAGCTAGGCAAATGGGTGATATAGTCCGACATAGAATACCAAAGCTGGGGAATAAAATCACTTCCTAAGGGAAGCAGCAGTTCTTGACAGCAAACCTATTTCATTATTTTACTTTATAGGCACTCTAAACAAGGAAGAGCTCAACTAGGCAAAACTAAGAGTCATACACTTCATTCACTGCATGCCATTTCTCTGGAGGGAAGGACAAACAAAGCCTGTAAATATCAGGGGCAGGCATCTATAAGACTAAATTTTTCAGTAACACTGGAGTTAAGATGTGATGAAGAATATTTAAGACTGCGCACCAATTCAGAAATCTCCTCCAACACACATTTAACAAAATGGCTTATTCCTTTGAGCAGGGATTTATAAATGTGAGTAAAGATGATAGCACAAGTTCTGCTGGTAGCCCAAGTTCTGATCAGGTATGGTTTATCAAAATCCAAATGTGAGGAGCTGAGATAAGACCCTAGAGGTAGGCAGTAGAGGAATACCTTGCATCGCAACAGAAGAGGAAATCCTGGAGGCACACAAACACAAGCCTCCATGCACTTCATGATATTCCAGAGGGCAACTAGAATTCCCAGTAAAGGCAGCAACAAGCAAAGGTTAATGCACTCTCGGTGGAAATATGTGAGTTTCTGATAGAACTGTAAAGACCTCAACTTTCTTGTTTAAGCTGTTAAAGGAGAAGAGCGCTTTTAGATTAAAGGGAGAAAAGCAGAGCAACCTTGTATTCAAGCACAATATCAGAATCTAGTTAGGTGGGGAGTGGGAGGGTCTTCTCATGTGCCATATGACCCTGTTTTGGAACCCTGTTTTGATGCACTTGTGCATCACCCTACCTCTGTGATCTCATGAGCCACTGCTCCTAGTAGGTCCTACTCAGAGGACATGGAAGACTGAATGAATAACAAAGGCTGTGGAAAATCTAAAGAAAGCATGAAGTTACTTTTTCTCATCAAAAGACTGATGAGGTTGAAAGTAATGCTAAAGAGTTATTCCATGGGGAAGTTTGACCCTCAGAAATTCTGCTTTCATGACATGTACAGCAAGTATCTCTTGGAAAGTCTGCAAGGATTTCTGGAGCAGAGGGAAAGCATGACTTCTGGCCCTTATCTTACAGCTTCAGCAAGCAGGCTAAGCCCAGAGTTGCAGCCCTAAGGCCAGTATATGACTGGTTTGATAAGATTTTCTTTTAGTACTCACTCCATACAGAGATGCCTCAGAGAATATGGAAGGAACTGGAATTTAGATTTCTTTCTTCTAGTAATGGAAGTTTCTTCAAGAGACCAGTCACTATTTTCCTTAAGCACAATTCTTCAAGATAGCTCAGGGATGCCACTAAGTAGTTCATCTGCAAACTGATGATTTCTGAAACCCAACTTAAAGACTTCACCAAAAGTCATTTTCAGAAGTGAGGTAGCTGTCCTCACTTATCATATGATTTAACACATCTGTTACACCTGCCTGGAGAATGCTCTACATTCCAGCAATGAAAACAGCAGCAGTGCTATCAGGATTAGAAAACTAGCCATTCTCATAACACAGGGTCTGAAGCAGACCAGGGAGAATAAAGCCATAGAGCAACAACCCAAAGAAAAAGCCGCAGAGTTCAGGAGAGTGTTGTCATCCGAGAGCTAAAGCTTAGGACAATATGAGGAAGTTTTTAAGGACTGAAAAGGATTAATAGTGAGACAACAAAAAGAAAAGAGTCTGACATATGTTTGTGGTTTATCAAAGCACAGTTCTGTGAAATTTGACTAAGTTCTAAGTAGGATCTTAGGATCTTAGTCACTTTGCTTAGTTTCATTCTTTGGAGTTGGAAAGTATCAAAGTGCAGAATGGATCTGAGATACACATTAACAGTGATGCTGCCCATGTTATTAATTTAATATAAGAATAAATTACCTGAAAGGCACCTGGCCTTGTGCTCGTGTTCTGTGATCGAGGAGAGTCCTGTGTTGAAAGGTCAGGGTCAAACTCTTTCAACTTCTGTAGCTGTTCTTTTTGCTCTCTGAACAGGAACCACAAGGAAGCGTTATCAGTGTGTAGCTTAAATGAAAGCTCAAAAGATTAAGGAGATCAATATTCACAGTGAAAACAACATAGTGCAGTAGTGTTTAGGGCCAAGTCCAAGCAAGAAAAAATAATTAGCCAGTCTCTATATGGTCACCACAATGATTCAGAAATGTCCAGGGTTTGTACCCACCTAACCATGGAGGTATTTAAAAACACTAGCTGTCTTGTTTGTCAATCATAAAATTTCTTTGAAACATTTAGCTCTCCTGCTGTGCTTGGCCAGAGCCACTCCACTCTGACGTGAAAGAGCAAAGCTGGACTTCTGCTTCTGCCCAAACCCTCTGCAGTCCTGAAGGCCAATGGGGATGTGTGCCTATGTGCTCTCTCACTGACTTGATCTGGGTTACATGCTGACAATAGCGAGACCAACAAAGCACACCACAGGACTCTGACATTTTAAACCAAAGCACTGGCATTATCTTTTGTTTAACATACTATTTAATATACTGTACATAGTCTTTGAAGCAGAGAGCAAGACCAGCACTGAATAATAAAACCACCAGATTACGAAATTCTGCACAATATTCTTCCCTTCCTTTTACTTCTTTGTTCCATTAGTTACTGTTACTATCTCTCTGTTCAGATTAATTGTGTATATTGAAGCAGTGTCTAAAGAAAACTAAGAAGGGGAGCCTGCGTACGGGGCACACCAGAGATCTCCACAACCAGCAGTGCATCTGCCCAGTGCTTAGCACAGAGGAAACTCAGCTCACAGACAGGAATCCCAAGTGCCCCCTTAGCACAAAAGGCAAACAATGAAACTGTGAACAGTATTCCACATGGTCTTCCGAACACGTGCCTCCCCGTGGAGGGACGGATCCAGAACTCACCATGCAGCTCAGAGTATGCTGCAAAAATACAGTAAAAGCAAAGGCAGATGAGGATGTTACAGTAGTTATGTACTGGGTTACTGATATAACTCTTGACGTCAAAAACACTCTAAGTAGTTTCCTTACTTTCAAGTTGTTCCTACCATTCAGACAGGGTCAGCCGCTTACAAGGATCTGGTAAGAAGTGTTAGTTTAACCATTTAAAAGACTGCTCTGCTCACATTAAATTTAAAATTGGAGAAAAATTATTCAGTAATCTTGTGTATATTTCCTCTTTTTACATATATAGATACACACACATTATATATAGTATATATAATATATACATTATTAGGTTCTATGTTTGAATATTTCAGCTCTTAATAAATGATGCACTTAGGCAGTGATTCCCAAACTACAATCCACTTTGTTGTGTTGGCTTGCAGTCAATCGCATTAAACAGTAAAAAACATGCCTGGCAACCTAGGGACTTATGAGAAAGTCAAAAAGTTGAAAATGATCCGTTTATCCAAGGCATTTGACAAATATTGCTTTATAACACAAGTTTTGCTGTTACTAACACTTGCCGAATCAACCTAATTACAGAAATGAATTAAATTCTTCTGAATAACTTATCTCCTAAAGTTACTTTTCTTACACTTCTGTGTGCAACTAAGACCTTCCATATGGTACAGATGGTTAGCTTTCTTACTTGTCTGAAAACAAAATTTTCAGTAAGATTGGAAAATGCATCTTTTCATATGGCTAAATATAACACCAATTGTAAACATTCACTGTAATAAACCATTACTTTAGCATAAGTACTTTGCCTGTGAAGTTGAAATCCTGTCTTTTCTAGTTACCAATTCTTAGCTATCTCTCAATAACTAATCAAGAGGTTCAACCATACAAACCTCTGTCTCTGGGGTGCTTCCTCTCTTCTTTACAATCTCCCCTGAAATATCTCATTTAGTGAAAATAGAGCAATAAATTTATCTTTCCAGTTTTCTTATGAACACATTGAGTGCACCTATACCCATGCAACAAAAGTGATGAAAACACCTGGTTAGAAAGAATGTGTTATTTTCCTTCCTATATTCCCCACCTTACTGAGCTTCAGGACACTGTTGATTTTTTTTCGTATGTGAAATTTAATGAAACAAGAGAATACCTATAAATGTGTTACCTATGCATGTGTATAATGCTCTTTGAGAAAGGCATGAAGAGAACATACTCAACAGTTAAAAAGAGATGATGAGAATCTCAAAGGTAGCTCAATCGTGATAAGACCTTGAAAGCTTCATTGGCTTCCAAATCGCCTGAAAAACTGGTTAAAGCTACAATACAACTGATTTGTCAATTTAGCAGTTGAAATTGTAGGGAGGATTCACAACCCAAGGAAAGCTTAGGACATCAAAGTTTACCTACTCCTGGTCAAGCAGAATGTTTAATTTTCATTGGAAGGAAAGAGGAAGATAGATCAGGAACACAAGAGTGTTAACACCCATTATAACATACTAAACAAACATTTATCAGAAAGATGACCAGAAAGAAATCACTACCTCCTGCATAGTAACACATGACCAAAGCATACCAGCTCAAAACTCTAAGATAAATGTAGCATTTATCAAGATGGGTAAAGAAAAAAAGCCCTCTTCAGAATTTTTTATTCCTGCAAAAGTGATAGCAATAAATAACTCGAGACAACTCACCGAAGCATTTTGAGCTCTTGGGCAGCCTTCAGAATTATCTCATGCTGTCTTTGGCTAAGGACCATCACTCCCCCCAGCGACTGCTCAGACTCCAGGTTTGAATCTGTTCCCAGCATATCAGAGGAATGTGAAGGTGGAGGAAGGGATGGCTCTAGCTGATCATCCAGAGGTCGCAGTCTGTCTGTGTCATCTGGGTACCATCTCTCAGACAATCGTTCTCTCTCCCAGTCTGTCCTTTCAGGAAGGTAGTCTTGCTTCTCCCGCCACGTGTCGTATCTCTCTGGATACTCTCGAACCCTTAGCTCCCCCCTGTCTCGGAGGTCTCTGTCATAATGATCCCTATCCCTACCCTCCCTCCACCTGTCTTCACGGTATCTGTCCAGAGGTGGAAGAGGTGGCAAAGGTGGTAGAGGGGGGATATCCATGTCACGATTCCCCATTTCTCTATCATCCATGTGCCTCATGTCCCAGTCTCTATCCCATTCTCTCTCTGCTTCTTGATCATAAACATCTGAGGATCTGCCAGTCCTGTCCAGATCTCTAGCTAGTTCCCGTTCCCTTGGCCTTTCCCATTCATCCCACCATGAATCTCGTCTGTCCTGATCAGATGATAAAGAGGGTAGTGGCGGAGGAGATAGTGGTGGCGCTGAATGGTGGGATGGTAACCTGTCATCCTTGTCATAGTGATCTACAGAATCATCACGATAATCTGAGTTGTGCTCTCTCCAGTATTCTTCTCTTTCCCAATCATCTAGTCGTTCATGCTCCAAAGGAGCATCTTGACTATCCAAAGGAAATTCCTCCTGCATTCCCTCATCTTCATGACTCCAAGAGCCCCTGAATGCATCATCTCGATGGTACGGAGGCAATTTGTCTGAATCGTCTTCCATGTGAAAGGGTTTATCCGTATTGCCTACGTCAGCCCTACCCGCTTCCCTTTCCCGGCTGTCTGCCCTCCTGATAGGACCCCTCTCCCGGCTGCCTGCCCGCCGGACAGGGACCCTCTCCCGGCTATCTGACCGTCCACCCAGTCCCCTCTCTCGGCTGCCTGCACGTCCATCTGGCATCCTCTCCCTGCTGCCTGACCGCCCCTCCGGCATCCTCTCCCTGCTGCCTGCTCTCCTGAACATGCCCCTGCCACGGAAGGACGCCTGCCTACCCTGGCCTCTTCCTCTGTATATATACCCTCTGCCACGGCCATCATCCATCCTGCCCATTCCCCTTCTGCGGCCATCATCCATCCTGCCCATTCCCCAGCCACCGTCCATCCTGCCCATCCCACGGCCACCGTCCATCCTGCCCATCCCTCGGCCGCCCATGCCCCTGCCACGGCCCATGCCCCAGCCGCGGCCATCTCCGTAGCCTCGGCCACGGCCATCGTCCATTCTGCCCTGCCCTCTTCCTCTGCCTATTGGCCCCTTGCCTCTGTCTTCATGCATATATTGCCCTTTCCCTCTGCCTTCTGGTCCAGGCAGGCCCTGGCCACTGTCTGAAGTGAGCAACTCGCTGTCTGTGGAATTCAAATCCTGATCTCCTGTTACAGGGGTTACCGTGCCTCCTGCTCTTGTAATACCCGACTGCAAAGCTACAGGATTATTAGAAAGGGATGTTGGTTTCTGGTTCTGAACGGGTGAAGTAGTCACCGTGGACTCTTCTGCTTGCTGGTTAGGATCATGTGAACTCCACGTCCACTTTTTAGGAGGGTCTGAAATAGTTTCTTTGACTTCAGCTTTGCATGGTTCCTGTTCAGTGTTGGTCAGGTCCTCACCGGGCTCCGCAGAACCTGTACCTTCAGTATCAGGAGTAGACTGAGTTTGAGTCAGAGCCTGCTGATTGCTAGTGATGTCTGCAAAAGACTCTTTATTTTCTGATCGTGAGTCTGCTTGTGAATGCTGTTGTCCAAAAGGAGGCCTGGGTCCCCTCCACCGTGGACCACTAGGTCGGGACCCATGTGCATATGATGTATTTGAGGAAGTATAAAATTGTGCTGCTGGTCCTCGTGGAATAGTCCCCCATCTACTTGAAGAATGTCCATCTGCATGATGTCTGTCAAAACGTGACCTGTACCCTTCTGAGCGCTGGGAGTCAAAGCGAGGCCCCCTCTGTCTTGAACCTTCAAATTTATCATATCCTCTTCCTCGAGGGCCGTCAAACCTACATATGAAATAATGATAATTTTAGTCAAGTGAGCATCTTAGAAAGGCAGCTTCTTCCTAGAAAATTACTTTTATATCCAAAGGCCTTAGGATCAAATCCTATGGAACTAGTGCAGTAACAGAGACATGGTGGTCAGTTCAACACTGCCCAGTGAAGAGCAGTTTATGCCCCTTGTGGGCTATGCAACTCTTAAGGCAAGGAAACTTTCCTTAAACATCTCGGCATTGAAACTTGACTTAAAAAGACAGTTAGCAAATTCATTTGGAGAAGAAAAAAAAATGTATTCGACTTTTGTTTTACAAAACTTTAGTGGAACCCAGCAACTCCTGTCAAATTTCTGGTTTGATAATGTTCATCCAGTCTGCTTAACTACAGCGATGAGCACAAAAATCTGTGAATCCAGTCCTGTCAGAAAGCGCAGCAAATAGAGGTATTGCCCAGATCTAGAATCTGGCAAACAAAAGAACATACCTAAAACATATATCTATTGCATCGTTTTTGAATGCCTCCTGAGATCACCTATAACTATTATGACTTATTATGGGAAATGTCAGGCAAAGCAGCATGAAGAATAATTTATGCAAATATGTTTAACAAGGGCCAGCTAGTTAAAAATCCAGTTTTTAAACATCGGTTCAAATACTTATCTACATTATAGGCTAAAAGAATCAAATTCATTTTATTCCAAATACAGAACATATGCCTGAAGTCAAATTGCTTGGATGTTTAGGATCCAGTTGAGTCTTGGTGAATACTGATTCATTATTTCTTGGTTACCAAAACTGGTTGACTCGCTGTAGAATTTTCTGCTTTGGTGAATATTTTAGAAAATGAGATTATTTATACATCCTCAAAAAGTTTTAATAATTCTAATAAATGAATATTTCAAAACAAAGTAGAAATTGATTTTTTTAATAACCAAATTGCCTGTATTTGGAATGAGGAAGAAAAAACAAGAAGAATACGAGGGGAAAAAAGAAGAAATTACAAAGTACAGTGCTATGATGTCTTAGTTGTTTTTTTTTTCTTTTTTTAAATTATGTTTGCAGGATCAACTTTTGCATGGAAGGAGCAGATAGGAGAAAAGGTTGGATACTAACCTCACCTCTGAAACATGGTCAGCTAGCTCAAGCAGATTTTTTACAGCTTCTTGGCAAAAAATGTTAGTTGCTAAAAAGGTGTGGGGGAATGTCATTTTATATGCCTAATCATTACCCTGGGACTTCTAAGCTGACATGATACCAGAAAATTCACTTAACATTAAAATATCTAAGACCAATTAAAAATTGATTAGGGCTCTTTTATAATTCCTATATTGAGAACAAATAGTAAAGAGATGTTTGGGAAGGCTTTGACAAAGTTTTAGCCTTGTCATGCAGCCAAAATACACTGTTAATTAAAAGCTGTAAGCATGCTCAGAACTAAAGCTACTGCATGTACTTTCTATGAATTTGGTTCTAGAGTAACAAAATATAGTGCTCTAAACCAACATACTAATGACATGCAGTTGCAAATCATCAATACAGTCTAAGAACTGCACATCAGAAAAATCATCATGACCAGAAGCAACACTTTTTTAAACCATGGGGAGATAAGAAAATTCCTCAAGTTACAATGGAATCATTTACATTACTAGCAATTCATGAACTATTATTCACTAAGGATCACTATGTAAGAAAAGAGAAGGGAGATAAAACAACATGAAAACATGATTGTGGAATCTAGTAGAATGAAATATAGAAATAATTTAATGGAGCGATATATTTTTTTCAGCCAGGTATTGTGTCAAGCACGAAAAAAAAAATCTAAAACCATGATCTTGGATTAAACCTTATAGTAGATAAAAAGCCACATAAATGCTGGCTTTTAGAGCAGCTTTAAATTAAGCCAGCAGGCCACCCATCAAAGAAAACAAAGATCAAAATTTGAATAGAACTCTATCTACCCCAAAATCTCTATCTTTCAAAACCAAGACCATCATGATGTAATAAAAACCAAAAAATGGCAAAAAAAAAGTCTAACTTAAGCCTAAGGCTAAAATCTTCATTCGCTCTCCCCCCTTTATCTCAGTGATAATTATTTGAATGCTATGTAGAAAATCATTGATTTCTACTGAAGACAAGCGCTAGTTCTCTGTTATCAGAAAGTGTGCAAGGCAGTCACACAACTGCAGAACTCTCTCACAATAGAAGAAATTAAAAGTACACAGCTCTGAAATTCCCATTTCCTGTCGCATCCTTCTACAATCACAATGCTGTACTGCAAGCCAAGAATAATCTATATGTTTTTAAAACGCAAATAGTAAACGCAATAACTAAATATGATATTGAGGTATACATGCAGCTGAATACCTTCCTGCATCTCTTTCAGCATGCCTATATTAAAGCATTATCATATGCCTACAAGGATATTATGATATTATGTCTTTGGGAATGGAATGGAAGCAGTGCACCTAGGCATTTTACTAAAGGTGAGGGGCGGAGGGAGAAGAAGAAAAAAAAGAAATTTATCTAGGTAATACTCACATGAAAAGCAACTATTTATCTACCTTTGCTTTAGTAAGATAAAAACCGATAAAGGTGTGTGGCATACACACCTTTAAAACAAACCCACAATGAAAAAAAAAACACTTCACACAGCACCAGGGAGATCTGAGAACAAGACAAGTCAAATTGCTTAATGTATCACTGAAAATCTCCCAGCCTGGAACGTGTATAAATCAGCCAAACAAAAAACACCCTTACCTAGGACCTCTGGGACCTTCAAAACGTGCTCCTCTGGGAGGATCTGGAAGCAATCCCCCTGATCTCACTGGTTTATCCTGCATGGAAGGTGCATGTGTTGAAGACACTGCAGAAGAGGTTTTCAGTTCCCCAGATCCTTGCTCAGATGAAATAGAGACAGTTTGTTTACTATGGTGAACTTGAGACTTTCCATGGTCTGAAGAGCCAAAAGATGAACTTACTTGAGAATGATAAGATGAAAATACAGGTGAACTAGCTATTTTTGATGCATAGGTACCAGGGGTGGGAAGCAGAGCTGGCCTTGGTGTCTCAGTAGATTGACTGCCTTGAGAACTGGATCCTGAAGGGACAGAGGAGTTAGACATCTGAGGCCCAGAGGAGAGAGGTGGGGGAACCAGTGGTGGTGTAGTTGAAGGTAAAGTTGGAGGCATAATGGGAATGCCACCTTGAGCAGTCTGAGAATATGGAACAAATGGAGGTGGCAGCGAAACATTTGCAGGGTACTGAGTCTTCAGGTTTTGGAGTGAGTTCACTTTCTCCTGCAGATGAGACTGAGTCACCTTCATCTGCTCATCCCACGCTTTCCACTGCTTTTCATACTCCTGAAGCTGGTCTTTATGAGGGTAGGTTTGAAGCTGATGCTGCCACTGTTGGTTCATTGATCGCTCCCAATCTTTATGAAGCTGCTGGAACTGTTTCTGCTGTGCCTCATAATGCCGCAGCTGCATGTCCACTGACATTGTCTGCAACAAAAATGAGGGAATTTGTTCAGTGAAGCCTCTTTCCAAAGAGGGCACAACTTTCATTACACATAGATATAAGCACTGATATTCCACAGACTTGATCTCATCTGAGATTTTTAGAGATTACTCTAACAGATTTTTTAAAACAAGGGAACAGCCCAAGCTACAAAGAAATGCTTAACATACAGATTCCCCCAAACCAGAAAAAGATGACTCAACTATCTAATACTAATTTATGCAAACAGAGCAGCAACCAACTTCTAATTAAACACTTAAAGATTGTTAATAGTTATACATTTATCTAAGCCTGCTCTTAAGAGCAAGCATTTTTTAATTTGTACTGATCATTTGCATCAAAAATAGCGTGGCAGTGATTTCCTCAATTATAACTGGACATTTTTGGCATCTATGTTTACTTCATCACCATTATATATAATTATGTTTGTACTGCATAATGTTGTAAAAAATGGCACTCTACCCATGCTATCGTCTCACTACCTGACCTTTTTTTTTTAATGAATTATTTCTCCAGCAGTAAAATACTCAAAATTGAACAAATTCAATGTTGTGTGCATATTGCGACACTCAGCTTTTTCCTATATCACCCAGGTATATCTGAAAATCTTATGCCAAGCACAAAGTCTTATATTTCTTGTCCTATAGAAGCTTCAACCAGTGTCTCTTTGTTTATTTCTTTTGTTTTGAAGTCGAGCAAGAATAGGAAAAGGGGATATAAACTCTTGCCTATGCATAAGAAGCAGCTAAGCAAATGAGCCAACAACATCAGATTATTCAGCAGATCATGAGTGTTAGCTCATTCAGGAAGTATTATCAAATGCTATCTCCTCAGTGGTTCACCTGTAAGTGTGGAGGCTGTTGCATAATCTGTTGATACTGTTGTACTATCTGCTGCAGCTGGGCATGCTTCTGCATTATTCTCTGATACTGAAATCCAACTCGGTGATGGGGATGCTGTTGCCACTGAGCTGCTGCTGCTTGCAACTGCTGCAATCTCAAATCTTCCTCAGGGTCATCAGGAGGTTCAATATTGAGCTAAGGAAAAAGGCAAATACTATAAAAAGGGAGAGTCCCTTTTGTCAGAAGAGAAAATGCTCCGTCACTATCCAGTTAGTAGTTATGTCCTGAGTGTTTGTTACTCTGCCACTCTGTATTTCACTATTCTGTCCACCCAAAACTGCTGGAAGATTGATTTTGCTTTCATTTATTTTTAATATGAACAGTGAGATCTAAAAGTTAGGCTGACTGGAATTTCATATAAACAGAAGCTACCTACAGGTAAGAGACTAATGCAGATCTGCTGTTTTTTCCCACAGTAAATGTAAGTGCAGAAAGCTGCACTTTTTCATGATGAGGCATGAGCTTCAAGTGCCACATGGTAGGAAGCTGCACAGTGTTAGTGGAGCACATACTACAAGGTATGTATAACCATACAGTAATCTGTTCAGACCCCAGAGCTCCATCCACTATGTTGTAACTGTCCATAAGGACACTGACAAAAAAATTCTGTGCAAAGCTCTTGACTTTCAGACAAATTATAATACAGAGAAAGAAGGGGAGACAGAATAAAGAAACTGCCAGGGAAGGAGAAAAAAAAATGTCTAAAATACAGCATTCCTTGACTCCTGAATGCTTGATTTTGCATTTCATAATCCAAAATGTATTTCTTGCAGTCATATATGACAACGCTGGGAAAAAACACGAGTCAAGCTCAGTGTGTATGTGGTTGATTATGTAAGTCTACATGCGAGTGGTATATACTATTTTAAATTAGTGCAGACTTAATTAACGTGCTTTCAGATTCTTTTACCAAATTACATTACTAAAGTGTATACACGAGACTGATGGAATTATTTTCCAGCTTGTTGTGTTTTCTCCGCTATCATAATGTATGGAACAGCACCTCTTTACAAAGCCTACCTGAGTTTCAGTGGACGTAAGAGAAGACTCGTCCTCTTTGGAAGATGGAGGCAGGGACTCGCTTAGTGGAGGCGGTTCAGACTGCTGCGCTGAAGCACTCATTTTCCCTTCTTCAGAATTTCTCTGCTCAGATGTGTCCTTTACCACCCCTGTACCTTTCATTTGCTGCTGCCCCTGAGCATGGGCTTTTGCCCTCTGCTGCAGGCTAAGCAGGTGTTGCTGATACCAGTATTGCTGCTGTTCCTACAATAAACAGAAAAATTCTTAGACAGCTTTCATGTGAAAAGACAGGAAAATCAATTCAAGATAGTCACTGGAATCATGAAGAGGAGACATATTCCAGAGAAGTGTTTATACGTGTTCTGATGGAGAACTCACTTCATCATCATCAGTATTTCAGTGAACGTCAAAAGACCTAATCAACATTTAGACACCACTATATGAGACAGAGCACACAGTGCAGAATTTGTTTCTATCTCAAAGAGCTTAAAGGTACAAAACCAATAATAAAAAGCAGAAAGATGGCTAATAATAAGCCAAATTACTACAAGCACGTGAAAGGTAATACAATTACTATTTTTTGCGCTTTTTATTCCTAAAATATGTATTCCATATGCATGTATTACGAGATTAGGTGAAATGAGGGGAAATCAGAGAGCACAAAGTATGAACAACACAGCAATAATAAGGAAGAAATGTGCAAAAAAAAAAACAGAATATGAGCAGAGACTAACACATCAAGTAGAGTGAAAATGACAACAGATCAATTGTGATGCAGAGATTCGGGAAGGCAGGGGGAAATAAAAGCTATTGAAAACAAAGCAATTGGCAAACAGAAAATACTGAGAGTTATTTATGATCTGAATTCGGATTAACTTCATTTAACAGGTGAAAAGGTGAACAAACATAACTGTGCCCAAAGAATTATCCATGTAAGAAACAAGCAATCAGTTCAAAATATTTCAAGCCAGAAGTAAAAGCACTTCTGGTAGACAATAGGAACTTCAAATGATTCTACGAACATAAAGACCCACAGACTAAAGGAGGAAGGGTATCTCAACACCTGTAGGATGGTGCACGGCAAGAGATCTGAGTAGGAACCTATGGTTCACTACAAGGACTATCAGGTGTCAAACAAGACTAACGAGAGAAATTCAAACAAGCAGCAGGCAGCTCTTGAGCCAACACAGAATACTTCTTCATAAAATTTCAGAATTGCCCTGACAAGTATTAAAATAAAGACATCTGTTGTGATTAGGACAGTTACTAAGACAGAAGCTATTAGAGGATACTAGGGAAGTATCTCTATACACTTGATTACTGAACTCTTCTCTAGACAGCTGCTTTTAGTCACCGCTAGTCACTGACAAAGACAAGACAGGTAAGTGCCATACATTTGGTGTGACCCAGTTTAACCATCTTATCTTCTTAGGTTAAGCCTAATGACTTTAAGATTCTGTGACTGCTTCATATTTTTCACATCCTCTCTGCTCTTCTTTTCCACACACCCATGAACAGGGAAGAAATGACCTATAGAAGGTCCATTCAAAAACATAAAACAAAGAAAAACCAAGAAAAGAGGATATCTTAAGTGTGATAATAACACTAGGAGGTGTCGTCTGATGAGATCCCTCAAAACTCTGGTTTTGATCCATTCAATTTATCTTAAAACAAGTTTTAAAAGTATTTTAAGCATAAACTTCCCCCAAAAGCTGACCTTGTACTCAAAATGGGAATGATGGTTTCTAGTGGAAACAGCCTGGTAGACGTAATTAAATATGCAGCTGTTATTTTTTAAAGTACTTCTGCAAAACTAACTTGGAGATGAGGTAAATGAAAAGAGGGGCTGTGATCCTTAATTTTATGTTGATCCCACAGTAACTTTTGCCAAGAGTCTTTGCAACACAGATATGAGTCAGAAAAGCTCTCACAGCTTTGGGTGGAATATGTGCACTTGCACTTCAGCATGGAGCCTCTCGGAAGCCTCCAAGAATGTGCTGTAATAAGCTCTACTTCCATGTCCAACACCAAGAAGCAACTTCTATCCGCAGCTCTATCAAAGTGGATTCAATGATCCCTTCCAAAAGGCATTGGAAGGTAATTTAACATGACGGTGCTGGGCGTGATGCTTCTAGATGAATGACTGAGAAGCACCTGCTCTGTTGCCATGAAATTCTCATCATCCACACATCCCTTTTGTTTCCTCCTCATTCTAACAAATGGATAAAAGGCTGAAAATCATATGACCAGTGGCTCACACAAAAACCTTCACATTGATAATACACCCTGTCATGTATTTTTTTCCACTGCAGATGAAGTCAGTAATACATATACAGCAGTTTCTAACTGAAAAAGGGAGAAATGTAAAAAAGAAAAAACAACTACAAAGTAGATTTCTACAACTTAGTTTGAACAAAATGGAAGCATTAGCACAGAAGACTGCCGATGGTGAAAAGTGGAGTTATCTGAGGGCTTCTGAGCTCCTCAGTATGATCGTCATTCTTTGAGTCCAAAGCCCAAAAATCTAAGTAACACATCACTACCAATACACACTGCCTTCTGCCTTTGGCTGAACAGAGGTTGAGCTGGAAACACTGAACGCAGAGCTATCTGCTCCCAACCACGAGAGAGACCACCAAAAACGCAACTCTGAAACAGCCAAGTCAGATCCACTAGAGAATTTCAGTACAGAGGGGTCTCTCTGTGACACTAAAAGTTCATGCAAGTCTGGAGAGAGACTCGAATACTTCAGTACAGAGTACTTCATGCAAGTCTGGAGAGAGACTCGA